TGGTCCAGAAATCATTCTTTAAAGTGCCCGATTGAGCATCTCAGTCTTTATTTGAATCCACTAACATGGAATTCACTTTTTTTTCCCTAAGAGACAGGATCTTGCTCTGTTTCCCACGTTGGAATGCAGTGATGCTATCATAGCTCACTGCAACCTTGAACTCCTGGGCTCAAATGATCTTCCCAACTCAGCCTCCCAAAGTGCTGGGTTTATAGGTGTGAGCCACCGCGCCTGGTCCACTACATTGTATTGACACTATTGGATTTTGCATAGGTACTGAAAGGCTGTTAGACTAAATGTAGGCCATCCTTCTTAGGTTTCTTCTATTTTTCACCCACCATTTGAGTCTGTCAACATTTTAAATTTCAAATTTGCCATCTGTTATATTAGCTATCTATCCCTCGCAGCTTCAGCCACCTGTACATTCAACAAGCATGCTTTCTATATCCTCATCCAAGTTCTTGAACATAAACAAAGAGCTTAGTCAGGACAAAAATAAAGTCCTCCAAAGTAAGTTTATTGTGCCCCCAGTCACAATGCAATAGTTACTAAAAAGCAAACTATAATATTCAGAGGCTAAAGTTTACACTATTATTTATAACAGAAGAATGATGTGATCAATTGAAGACATATGATTATACCACTTTTATCATTCAAATGCCACCCGGTTGACAAAGGATAGGAAACACGTATCTGCAGAACTCAAAACTAAAATGTCCAAACTTACACTAAAAGCTTCCTTGTTGTTTTTAATGGCACCAGATTCTTCTACTTTATGATCCTCTTCTAGCATAATACTGGATGGCTAATACAAAGAAAAACATACATTACAAAGGGTAACCAATGTTTTCACAATTTTAAATTTCAAATCTTAGGAATCTGAACACACACTCCTTTTATTTTCTAATACATACCAGTGAGGTATATAAAATTTTGGATTTATCATTGCCATAATTAGGGTAAGTTTAGAAGTTAAGCTAAGAATGTTATGAAGGAAATTTCACATGGGAAAATTGAAGATATAAAGAGAAAGCTTCTTCTGATGCATTAGCATGCACTATGACTTTCGTGTTAATGTTAATTATGGAACTTTCAATACTTAAACTGGCAAGGCAGACTTTATCTTGAAATCAGATAACCAGGAAAATGTAAAAAATATACAATTTTAGATTACTGGTCAATAATGATAATATAACCCTCACAGACCTCAAGCTACTACAAAATTCTGAAGAGTTCCTTGAATCAAAAACAATATTCAGTGTGATTTTTATTGTTAAATGTATTTTGCTTCTTGAATCTTTAAAAATTATATAGGAGACATAAAAACTAAAGGCAATAAAAAATTTAATTAATCAGAACACTCCCATTTTCCAAACCCTGAGGATAAATAGCTTATGTGAGAGATTCTTACTTACCTTAATTTTTAATTTAAATAAAAAGCCCAGTAATAATTCTCATTTTTTTTAAAACAGAAACTCATGCTCTAATATTCACATAGTGAAATTTCTCAGATTTCTTTGGGCACATTATTGATTTTTTTTTTAAACAAGTAGGGGGGAAAAAAGGATAGCACATATCTGTTAGTTTTAGATAAAAAGAATCCATCTTTTATAAATTCCAGAAATTTAGGTATTTTTTCTGGCCTGAAATTAATTTTCTGCTCAAAACCATGTGTCCAAGTTAGGAAATAGAAAAACTTCAATTTTGAGTGTAGCCAGGTCTGAATATGACTCCTGTGACCAAAGGAGCCACAATCCAAAAGAAGACCACGTGGCTGCACTGGTCAGACTTTGGAGAAGAAAGCCCAGGAGTGGAAGGGAGGTGAACAGATAATCTTACATCATTTTGGTTTTGCTTCAAAAGGATTATTGTGGCCTAATAATTGGCAGTGAAAAGCATAATCTACTAATCTTAAAGTCTTTTAAATTTGAAATACCTGGGGCAAAAGATTAAAGGAAGTCTTTTCCACATCATTTTTCTGCTGTTCCTCAAATCTTTTTACTAAATTTGATACAAATTCCTCTATTTCTTGATGATATTGCCTGTATAAGAGGACAAAATGGTCAGAACCCAGACAGTAAAACATTTAATAGATTGAAGTCGTATGCATCATTATAAGATGTCATGTGTAAATTTTGTTATTTCTTCTTTCAGAGGTTTATCAAATCACTGACTCTATGTAACACTCAGGAAACTATTCCCAAAGGAAAGATACACATTGTTGCCAAGTTAATGAAATGATTATGATAATGTAACACAGTGTTTGGCATAACAGTTGCCAAACAGTTGTGCAAAGAATGGATTTTATTTGTAAATTTTATCTACTTAATTTTGGAATAGATACTAATGGAAATGGTCCAAAATCCAAAAGAAGTAAAAGGGTTACATAATGAAAAGCTCCCTTCCTACCCTGTCTCTTAGCCACCTACTTCTGCAACACAAAGACAGCCAATGTATTTGATTCTTCCACATCCTCCTCCCAGAGACTCTTTATACACATATAAGGAAACACCAGTATAAATAGGAAACTGAAAAAAATAAAAGCAAAGGCCGTGCGCGGTGGCTCACGCCTGTAATCCTAGCACTCCGGGAGGCTGAGGCAGGAGGATCACTTGAGCTCAGGAGTTCGAGACCAGCCTGAGCAAGAGCGAGATCCTGTCTCTACCAAAAATAGAAAGAAACTAATTGGACAGCTAAAAAGATATAGAAAAAATTAGCCGGGCATGGTGGCGCATGCCTGTAGTCCCAGCTACCCGGGAGGCTGAGACAGGAGGATCGCTTGAGCCCAGGAGTTTGAGGTTGCTGTGAGCTAGGCTGACGCCACGGCACTCACTCTAGCCCGGGCAACAGAGCGAGACTCTGTCTCAAAAAAAAAAATAAATAAATAAAAGCAAAATGCAATGCAAGAAAAAATGCTGAGGTCTACTTTCTCTATCCCTCCAGGTCAAGAACCAAGCTCATCAAATATTCTATAGTGCTCAGTTCAGGTGTCAAAGGAGCCCAGGTCTTGTTAGGCTGCAACTGGGCAGCGACAATGTCTCAGACACAGCTTCCTTTTCACAGTCTTGACGATTTTTCATGTCTGTTCTAGCTATGACATTCTAAGGTTTCTGCAGATGAAAACGCCAGGTGAATGGTGCAGAAATCAGACAGTCATGAGCTAGAGTAGATCTCAAATCTACGGGGAGGTGGGACAAGACACAACAGTGCTAGAGCCCGGTTGTGCCCAGCTCTTTTCTGCTGCTGCATTCACCACCCAGCTGCCCCACCCCCAGAGCCTTGGGTTCCACTTCTGCTCAAATAAAGTAGGTTATGGGCCTGGCACCATTCCCTCTACCTTCTTGACCTTGGTCAGCACATAAGATAACAATATGATTAAGTGTCTTGGGAGGGGGCCAGCAATTGTCTGAAATGTCTATGACCATGCTCTGAGGGATAAGGCAAGGTCTCAAACCATTTCAGAACACTTCAGCAAGCACTATAAGAATGCACAGAATCACCCTAAACCCAAGCATACTGGATGACTTGCAAAAGTCTGATTTTGCTATTAAAAAAAAAAATCACGTGGGTAGGCTTCGAAGATAGCCGACACAGAATCCATTGCCTGATGTGGGGAGAAACATGGTTAACATTATTATTATTGTTATGGTGGTAGTGGTTATTTTTACTAGAAGCTATTTATTGGGCTCTTATAGGTGCTTATTTAGCTACCTAAAAGGTAGTTACTAATAGTACCCTGTTATCCAGGAAGAAATTGATGATACAGAAAAGTTCCATGACCTCCCCAGCAGTCCACAATCAAATTCAGGTCTATATGACCCCAATGTCCTTGCTCTTAATCATGATTTCATACACTTAAACTCCAAGAGCACTTTAAGAATAAAGATAAGTACAAATGAAAACAGCATAATTATAAAAGACATTGTTTCATAAATATATTAATTATATTTAAGAAAGGGAAAAAATTACTTACTTTGAAATAGCATTGTTCATAAATAGAATCTGTAATAAAGGTCCGTCTAACTTAGTATTGTTCACCAATATTCCACTAAAACAGAATTAAAACATATTCTTAGAAGACATTAAAGTAAAACTTGCTTTATAGTACACATAACTTTTATAATTCTTAAGTACCAAAGATCATGTATTTTACAAATGAGACCATGAATGAATAACTAGTTTTCTCAAGAAAAATCTAAGCTTTTACCAATTCTATGTACTTTAATGGTTTTATACAAAGGTATCTCTTACTTTTTAATTTTTTTTATCATTATTATACTATGACAAAGACTGGAGAACAGGTATCTCTTATTTAACATTAATATGTACGTGTATATGTGGGTGTGTATATATCTAAAAATATATATTTTTAGAAAAGGGATCTTACTCTGTTGCCCAGGCTGGAATGCAGTGGCACGATCACAGCTCACTGCAACCTCAAGCTCCTGGGCTCAGGCGATCCTCCTGCTTCAGCGTCCTGAATAGCTGGGACTACAGGTGTGCGCCACCAAGCCCAGCTAATTTTTTAATACTTTGTAGAGACAAGGTCTCTCTTTGCTGCCAAGCTAGTCTTGAACTTCTGGCTTCAAACAATCCTCCTGCCTGAGCCTCCCGAAGTCCTGGGATTACAGGCATGAGCCACCAAGTCTGGCTAGTATTTTAAGAAATGTTTTACAGAAAATTAAGAACTACAGTTAATCTTTCAGTTCTCAGTGAAAAAGTTTCTCTACCTAATGCCTAGGTTCTTTAAAAATGGAGTGGGAGCAGGGGAGGAAGGACTGGATAAACCAGCAGGTTACAAGAATATATTTCTAAAAGAATCTGAGTGAATTTGGCTTGGAAGTATATGGGAAATGAAACACTTATAAATAAACGGATTGACTCTTGGAGGGTAAAGCACATTGCACTAAATATCTCAAATCCAAGATTCTAAAGCAGAGATATATATAAGTATACTATTCCTGGATCTGACTTGCGAATACTCCCAAAAACAGAACTAGAATGCAGCCTGGAAATCTGTAATATGTCCCTTCAGTAACCTGGGACCAGCTGTATCTCCGATTCTTCCTCTCTCACCTTCCTCATATTCCTCTACCTGTACAGCATGTGAAATAAATCAGTTTCTATTTAGAATTGTTCATATCAAGTAAATAAATAAAATTAAAATATGAAAAAGTTCAGAGACTTGTTTTAATTTGGGCAAACTTCAGGTTTTAAAAATACATGTTTTTAAGAGCCACATGCAACTTGCATGGTCCTTGGTTGGAGTCCAGTTCGAGCAACCAGCTATAAATACACTCAACTGGAAAAATTTGAATATGGACTGAGTAAGGGACGTTATTAAGAAAATCATGCCAGTTATTAGGTGTGATCATGGTGTTGTGGTTATGTATGAAATAAGTCTTTATTTTTAAAAATACAGGCTTTTGTAACCAGCATGGGCAAACATAGCAAGACCCCAACTCTACAAAAAATTTAAAAATTAGTGGTGCGTCATGGTGAGTGCCTGTAGTCACAGCTACTTGGGAGCTGAGGCAGGAGGATCACTTGAGCCCAGGAGTTCAAGGCTGCAGGGAGCTATGATTGCAACACTGCACTACAGCCTAGGTGACAGAGTGAGACCCTGTCTTAGAAGATAAAAAAAAAAAGCTGAAATATTTGGTGTGAAATTTGTGTATGAGATTAGAAAGCAATATGATAAAAATATTGTTAAATCTAAGGGGGGAAGATATGGGTAACAGTAATCATACTATTCTTTCCACTTTCTGTATGTTTAAACCTTTTCTTAGTTAAACAAATGCACACACACAAACCCCATAATGTTTACTGATAAAAAAGAGGAAAAACTTCTGATTATGACAGTTTCAAAAATAAGGACTAAACCAAGAGACACGAGGATACAAATTTTATCTAATTAATGCTGTATCTCCTTCTTTCTTGGTTTTCTGTAGAATGCTTTATCAGTCTGACGATACAGAGCGCACTAATTCTAAAAAAATAATAATTTATTCCCTTTTCATGATACTGTTTCCTTCCTTCTTATAAACCGGCAAAGCCTAGAATGTTGAAATTATTTGAACTAGGTAATTATTACCCCTTTTAAGATAAATACTTAATGTTCAAATGATCAACTCCATTAGAAAATGTATAATTATCTAAATATCTTTAACATATAAAAATTATGATTTTTATGAGGAATCCCAGTTATACATTTATATACATTTAATATCTAACCAAAAATAAGTATAGATACCCAAAGTGTGCTCACACAGCGGAAGGAGAGTAGGGCATGGGGAAGTTATTCTGAAATACTTCTAAATTCTAAAATTTAAACTTTTAGTCACCAGTGCATCTGACTTATTCCAGCTGGTACCGGAGACAAAAAAGTATATGTGAAACCACATCATGGCACCCCCAAATTCTGAAAGCTTAAATTACCATTTCACATAATAAATCTGTACTTTAACAAATACCTAGATTTAGTGACCTGTTAAATAAATTTATATTATGAGATATCAGCATTTAATCTGTTACAGTCAGATGCCCAAATGCAAATCTATTCATTGTAGTTTTTCCAAAGGAACATTAACTTTTTCCTTTTTCTAAAATGCCATATCTTGCATTGTTTCTCTTTGTGAACACATTTTAATGGTGTAAGTAAATCTTCAGCTAGAGTAACATTGTAATCTTAATCCTTACTTTCTAGAAATGTTTGTTAAATAGGAACAGCTGGGTTGACAACGTTCCTGTTCTGAGCATTAAGTCAAAATTTTCTGGATTGTGCTTCACAAATATTTTCACCCAATAAGTAAGCTTAAAAGTTTAATGCACTTATGAGAATCCAGATTTTACAAATTCAGAATAAAGGACCATTACTCTGATCTCTTCAGAGTATGGTGAACAAATAAAAATGACACAAAAATCCTACACGCTTTTTACAAAGAAATTGTGATTAAATATTAACATGAGGATAAATAACAAGGGACGACTATGGTGTATTTTCAGTATCTCATACCTTGGTCGAGTCAGAATGTTCAATTTTCTTTTAAGTTCTTGATGTTATTACTTGTTAAGGAATGTTAGCCCTCATTAAACAGAATCATGCAGATCATAAAATTCATCTACTACTCCTCTTACTTTTGGTATCAGAATGTTACAAACGTAAAAGACTCATGAATACTTTGAGGATGACACACTGAGCTCCTGTTTTGTTGCAGGGATAGGCACTGGGACCTAAAAATTACTATGGTTTTCATCCCTTTGAACATACACTTTAAGACACGATCTTTGAGTTCAAAAGAAACAAACTGAACCAAAAACATTTTCAAACGATGATGTCCTTGTCAAAAGTTTCAACAGCTAATTAAGAAAAATTTCCAAGTCAAAGCATGGTGATATATGATAAAGAAAATGCAGTATAACAAGCAGTTAACAAGAATCTGGGATGGAATCTACGATATTTACTGTACGATCCTTTCAACTTTCTTGTATTTTGAAAATTTTCATAACAAAATGTCGAGGAAAAAGGCAACATGTTAAAAAAAAATCCAACTTCAAAAACCTTAAAAGCTGACATACCAACCACTTTCAGGGCTCTTTACAAATTTTAAAAGGAAAACTACCCGAACCAAAATTATCTGTATATATAGTTTTAAAAACCCTAAGAATGTAAATAAACATACTAGCAAATCCAGAAAAAACTGTTATCATGTAACTCAAGCCTAACACAAACTTATTTGGCGCGTTTTCCCCAAAGCGTTACAATACATCTTCACCACCGAAGCTAGCTCAAAGTGGAAGAACTCTAAACTTAATCCCCAACTTCAATCAAGCAATTAGCCATTTCATTTCTCTTTGCACACCCCGACTCCTTCAGGCTCCGAACTCTGCATCCTAGGACCACCAGCTTTTTCCCCTCCATAAAAAAACTGATCGAAGGTCTAAGTATCTGGTATCTCCTAACATACAACACGACTGCATGAAGTTGAGCTTGGCTGCAAAATATGAAATGGGATGACCCCAAAGAGAGGAAGAGAAGTGGTGGCCAGTCTACAATCTAACAGTTGAGCCGTCTACAACAACCCTAAAAAACGGAACCCGGCTCGGAGCGGGGGGCAGGAGGAGTGGATCCAGTCAGGAGACGGATTTCCAGACAGGAAGGTTTGCGCCGAGGCCCCAAGTCAGCTTGCACACCCCGAACCCTAGAATCTCAGCCCGCCAGCGGGACACCAGAAATTACTTCGAATTCTTTGCCCTTTTGGAATTTCCGCCCACGCCGGGCGCTGCCCCGACCCCACGCCCGGGTGACAGGGCCCAGCGAGCGGGAAGGATATTCTCGGCTCGGAGCTGTTGGATGGTTTCCTCGCATTGCCGAAGCCGCTCCCGCAGCTCCGCGTCGCCTACCCCGTTCTCGTCCGCCTCGTCGCCGTCGTCGTCCTTGAAGCGGGTGTGAACGGGCTTTGGAATCGACTCCTCCGGGTGGTCAAACGCCTCGAACAGCTCCAGGTCGCCAAAATCCACCTCGGCCGCCATTTTGGGCTGTGGAAAAGATTTGAGAAGGGGAGGAGCCGGCCGCCGGGGCTGGGGGCGAAGGTTGTAGGGCGGCACCACTCTCTAGGGCTCGGGCCCTGCTAATCTAATCCACCCTGTACGATTTTCTCCACACGCGGACCGCCAAGGCTGCACAGGAAGCGGGGCCAGTCCCGGCCGACTACAATTCCCAGAATGCAACGGCCTCCCTCGTACCCACTTCTGAGATTGCTCGGGGGCATGGCATGCCGGGACGTGTGGTTTCTAAGAGACTGTTAACTCATTGTTTGCTTTGCATACTGGGATTGGTCCGTTTTGAAACGTGAAGAAAAACTGACTAGCCCAGAACGTGTTAAAACAATATGGATTGTCCCTGCTAGGCAAGCAAGGCTGAAGAAAATCAGAGTACGACGCACGTCATATCATAGATTCTGGTGTGTGTGTGCTTAACAGCAACAGGAGAATAAAGAACTCCATCTTTGCCACAGACGACGTTTGTGATGTTAAACAAGCTACTTTAGTTTATTGGGCTTGGTTCATTTTTTATGTAAAATGAGTTAGATTCTACTATTTTAGATTTGTCTGTTGAGGCTTTCTGTGGTTTCTCTTGTTTAATCACTTATTCATTCAGTCACATTTATTTATGTCTTCAATGTGCCAGGCACTTGTCTAGGATCTGAAGATACAGGAGTAGTGAGCAAAATAGAGAAAGAAATTCCTGCTCTCATGAAACCCATGGTCCACAAGAAACAACAAAAAATACTGTTGCTGCTCTTGGATCCAGCGGGGTGTTGATGGGTATTCATAAAGAAATGAAAAACACAGGGAGTTATGAATGTGTAACAAAGAAACAACATAGTCTGTGGGAGTCAGTGAAGTGGGACTTGAACTGAAATACGATCAGGTAGGCAAAGTTAGTTGTGAAAATATGGAAGATGAAACAAGAGCATTCTAGGCTGAAGAAACCACATGTTGAATGAGAAGGCAAACGGAAGCAAGATGAGGCTGGACTCACAGAACCCAAAGGGATCCTCCCTCCACCCCCAACATTCAGAAGTCATTGAAACATTTTAAGCATGTGCTATGTTTGTGACTAGCAAACTTTCATTTTGATAAAATGGTCCCGAATGTAGGGTAGAGGAAAGATTGGAGATGGAGCAAGAGTAAAATTCTGTGAGTCTAGTAGATAGATTGATAAATTTTTGTAGTACAGTAGTTAAGAAATGCTAGTTAGCTTGTGAGTTTCAGTCTATCACAAACAGCTGGGTTTCAGCCAATCACAGGCAGCCAATTCCAAATAATTCGGACACCTAGCTGTAGCCAATCAAGTGATTTCTCTATTTTGCTTCTGTGTTCAGTCTATAAAAGCTCACTGCTAATGCTGATGGCTGGAGCTCTCTGAACCTCTTCTGGTTTGGAGTGCTGCCTAATTCATGAATCATTTTTTGTTCAAATAAACTGCTAAATTAAAAAAAAAATCAGGTTGAATTTTCAGGGGCTATAAGTAAAAATAAGCAATCTGTATTTTTACAATTTATTAGAATTTAATTTTCATATTAAAAAAGAAAAAATGCTAGCTTGCATTGGGGTAGCGGCAATAGTAGTGGAGAGGATTAGCTAGATATTTAGGGATATTTAAAAGATAAAATTAAAGCAACAGATTTCATTAAGGATCAAATATAGGGAATGAGGGGAAAGAGGTCATGTAGATTTGCTAGGATTTTGACTTAAGACACTGACTGAACAAATGGTCATATGGGATAGAGAACATTGGATGTGGACCAGGTTTGGGAGCAAAGAGGGAGTTCCATTTTGGTTATGTGGTACCTTGAGACAATTTTATCCTTATAGGCAATAAAGAAGTAACTGGACTGGTGGAAGATGTTTTTCAAGCATTTTGGTTAGACATCACAGGTATATTGAAGGAAAGATTTGAGGCCCCAGTGGAAGTGTATATTAGACAACTGTATCTTTGGGTCAAGCTTGGAAGAAAGTCTAGGACTGATTGCTGAGAAACTCAAAGGGCTGGGTTGAGAAGGATGAGAATACTAGGATGAGAGAACTGGGAGTGCGTCTCATATAAATTAATTTCTGAGTATATACTTAAAATCATCTGTGGTCTATTAAACTGATTAACTTAGAATTATGTTTCAAACTCAATATTTGCTTCCATTTCCTTCCACCAATCTACTTCTTAAACAGTATTTGTTTTCTAAGCTTAGTGGAATCAAAACCCACCATCACCCCAGCTAGAAGGCTCAATGTCATCATTGTATTTGCCCTTTCAATACCTACAACTACCAAGTCCTATTCTCTCTCTCAAATTACCACGAAAGCTCATAGTTTTCCCACTGTAGAATTTATTATATCCAACCTTGAATACTAGTATGGCCTTCTGGTCTCACTGTCCTGCCTAGCAACCAAGTCTTTTTTTTTCTTGAGACAAAAGGGCTGGAGTACCGTGGCACGATCATAGCTCACTGTAACCTCAAACTCATGGGCTCAAGTGATCTTCCTGCCTCAGCCTCCTGAGTAGCTGGGACTTTAGGCATGTACAAGCATACCTGGCTAGTTTTTAAATTTTATGCTATGTTGCTCAGGCTGGTTTCGAATTCGTCGGCTCAAGTAATCCTCCTGCCTTGGCCTCCCAAAAGTGCTGGGATTACAGGTGTAAGCCATCATGCCAGCTCATCACATCTTTCAAAATATCTCCAGGACAGCAGTTAATGTCCCTGTTGCTCATAAACGTAAAACTCAAAACATCCATCATGGAGCATAAGGCTTTGAAACTGAAAGCACAGAACATCCAGGGGAAAACGGTAACAATAGGCTTAAGCAAACTATGGAGTATGTCTCCCCTACAGACCCATTTCCCAAATTGAGACAGCTAACCTTTTCTCCAGGCCTTCAATAATAGCTTCTTAGAATAAACCATTCAACTTACAATTACCTATGTAACTCCTGCTAGACCTGCACTAATGTGGTTGCCACTGGCTACATGTAGCTAGTGCCAAGTGAGATGTATCAAATATAAAACACATACTGGATTTCAAAAGTATTAAGAATACAAAATGCCTCAAAAGTATTCATTACATACTGAAGTATTTTGGACACATTGCACTAATAAAATTACACTTGACCCTTAAACAACACGGAGGTTAGGGGTGCTGACTCCCACGCAGTCAAAAATCCACTTGTAGCCGGGTGCGGTAAAAAAAAAATTCATCATCAAAATAAATTCTTTAACAAATAAGATGTGTGATACATACGAAGCCCATGAAATGGACCAGATCAGACTTAAGGACAGGAGGAACACAGTATACTGGTTGGAAGATCCTTACCACATTTTCTATGCCCGAATACATTCCAGATGGATTAAAAAATTAAACCAGGCTGGCGCGGTGGCTCACGCCTGTAATTCCAGCACTCTGGGAGGCCGAGGCAGGCGGATTGTTTGTGCTCAGGAGTTTGAAACCAGCCTGAGCAAGAGTGAGACCCCGTCTCTACTAAAAATAGAAAAATTAATCGGACAACTAAAAATACACAGAAAAAATTAGCCAGGCATGGTGGCGCATACCTGTAGTCCCAGCTACTCGGGAGGCTGAGGCAGGAGGATTGCTTGATCCCAGGAGTTTGAGGTTGCTGTGAGCTAGGATGATGCCATGGCACTCTAGCCCGGGCAACACAGTGAGACTCTGCCTCAAAAAAAAAAAAAAAAATCCACTTGTAACTTTTGACTCCCCAAACACTTTATTAATAGCCTACTGCTGGCTGGAAGCCTTACCAATAACATAAAGTTGACTAACACACATTTTGTATGTTGTATCACATACTGTATTCTTATAATAAAGCTAGAGTGTTAAAATCATAAGAGAAAATACACTATTAAGTGGAAGTGGATCACCATAAATGTCTTCATCCTCCTAGTCTTTGCATTGAGTACACTGAGGAGGAAGAGGTCTTGCTCTGGGGTGGCACAGGCAGAAGTGGAGGTGGAAGGGGAAGCAGGCTCACTCAGGTGTTAACTTTTATTTTTAAAAAATCCACCTGTAAGTGGACTCCCGCAATTCAAACCCATGTTGTTCAAGGGTCAACTGTACTTTCACTTTTTAACTATTTACATTTAGCTACTAAAATTTTAAAAATCACTGAAAATAATGTATTTTGTTGGTCACTGCTGCTCTAGATGAGCAAAGGACAGACCGTATCATTACATATGGCCAGCTCCTAAAACACTGGAAATAGGAAGCTTTTGTAACACTACCTTATAGGGTAACAAGTATTTTTAATGAAATTTATTTGAAAGGGTGGAGCTTAACTGAAATACGTATTTGTGATGACCACAAAATCAAAGACCTATGTCACTTCTTCGTTAAGTTTTGGCTTTGTCATTTAAGCACGGGAATAAATCATTTCTCCTTGTAATTACCGCGCTCTGGGAACACTAAACGTTTATCAAAATACATCACAATCTTATAATCCAATCACTTGCTCTTCATGTATAACAAAAGCATACTTTAACAAGTTGGCAGGACTTTGTAATTCCAGTTAAAATAAGGGTGTAAATTTTATCCCTATAAACAATCTTCCCTTGGTGTACTGTGCTCCTAACACGGTTTTCCAAAGTTCTTTTCTAAGCAAAGCTAAACATTGTAATGAAAGTAATTGATCTATGAATTTTATAGTTTCTCCCTCACCCCCAGATCATGCCCTATTCAATTTCATGACAAAGTAGTTTTCTAGTATTTTAGTACCTTGGTCTAGCTTATGCTGGAGAAGACTTCAAAGGGATAATGAGCAAAGGGCATACAAAGAACTTGTTATAAGGCACTTTATTAAAATAAAAGTGCTTACATCCCTTTAATGCATTAATCGATTTCCTGAATAACATACGGAATATTTAACAAATACTGTACACCAATCTGTCCCTTATAATAGCAGGAAAACAGTATTATTTTGTCTGCTCCTCCCACCTTTCTTTTACATTTTTGCTCACCATGGTA